ACCGAAAGGTGGTTTTCATGATGTTTTGATTGGAGAACCATTTAAATGCATCCAAAAACAATTCCCACACAAAAAGACTTGAAAACCACTTCATTTAAGTAAAAACCACGGCTAGCCAAGTTTATGCCGTTTCGCGTGGTTTTTATCAAACGACAAAAAACGAAAGGTGGTTTTTGAAGTGTTTTTGATGAAAAACTATTTAAATGTGCCCAGAAGTAAAAACCAGTCATAAAAAGTTGAAAACCACTTGGTTAGTTCGGACGCCAAAATCAACGCCGAAAACCGAATGCCGAACGCTGGATGGCTTGATTTTTGGTTTGGGCGAACACCAAGTGTTTTTAATGTTTTAAACATGTTAGAAAAACATTTTTATGATGTGTGAAATGCAATGAAAAGAATTTTAGCCTAAAGAGCCAAGGTGTAAAGGTTGGGTCGGTCTTGATCACAATTATGACCGACTCAACAACACTAAGACAACGGTCTTCGTTCTTGGTCTTCTTTTGGGTCTTGTTCTCTTGCTTTCTTCTTATATTTATTTCTCGCCTTGTATATTCAATAACTTGTCTCGTTCACGGCGGTTTGGCATTATCAAAACCTGTCATAAAAACGAACACGGCTTTAGTACGAAAACACGATAAACCCGTGTTTCAACACAATTGTCTCCCGGACACTGATTTCTACCTCCAAAGTATTATGATCTTTAAAATCTGAAACTTTTTATCTAATTTGGACATAAAATTGACAAATTCATTTAATTTAATTTGGAGCCCTGTATTTTATTCTTCTTGAGACAAAACATCAGTTTTGTCACTAGTAGACACTTTTAATGGGTAAATTTATTACTATTTTCGTGCAATAACGCTTAAAATATGTAGAATAAAATAAGAACAAAATGAACTTATCATCCAACGTTTGTTAAATTGACTTGAAAAACCATGATTGAAGCCAAGCTTGAGTTTGTAAAAGTCCAGTTTTTTTTCCTACACAATAGGTTCAAAGACAGCTAGGAAAATGAAATTATAGCATTTCTTGAGAAGTACAAGTCTATTGAGGGAAGACTTGATACCACAAGCATTCCAGAAAAGAGCTTTCATTGGGAAACTGAGTGATTTGAGCTCTTATTGGCTGATCTAAGCCTGGATTTAATTGAGGTATTGAGCTAGATCTCTTTAACTTTTTCTGGGATTGGTGGGAGGCCTTTGGAAGTGCAGGGATAATCATACATAATTCCTAGGTCTTCATAATCTGATTCATCACTTTCATTTTCTTCTTCAAGTTGCAGGAGTGGTGAGAATTCAAATTCAGCTATAGGCAGTGGTTTCCACAAAACCAATGCCATATTATTACCTTCACTATCTGGAACAACTTCTAGGCCCTAAGGAGGGGTAGGGTCTAAAAGAGCAGAAGTGGGAGCTGATGGACAGTGTACTACTGGCACTGGGGTCTCCTTGTCCTTGTCCTGTAGTTGTTGTGCCTCACATGAATTGGAACATTCCCCAGGTCCAGAAGAAGAGGGACCCAATTTTCTTTTCCAAACAGCTTCAGACCCACCTGACCAAGTAAAAATGCCCCCCGTAGGGTCTGGACAGTGTAGTTTACAGTTGGAGATGCAGCTGTTAAAATCTTCCATACTTTGATCATTAGGGGTGCATTGTCCCTTTACATCCTGCAGGGATAAGATAGAATTAAAGTCACCTCCCAAAATCCATCTTTTATTCAAAGGACAAAATGATTATTTCTGATTCAAAAGCAGTCTTCTATCTTTAATTGAGTGGGAGCCATAAATGCAGGAGATGGTAAGAGGACTGCTGTCATCCTGAAGGAGAAGAAAATCACAGTGTGTGACTTGAGGTTCATCAGAACAATTAGTCATGGTAAGAGAATCATGGTTCCAGAAAATCCGTCTCTTATTATTGCTAGCGACAAACCCATTAGAAAATCCCATTTTAATACGATAGGTGTCAAGCTTCTGAGCATTGACAATAGGTTCTATAATACCCAAGAAATCAAGAAATGAGTACTCTTCAGAAATATAAGTCTTTCGAGTGAAGAGGCAACTCCACGGACGTTCCAAAAAAAAGAAGCTTCATAAAATGGGTTCAAGGATACTCTTTTATTCTTCATACCTCTAGTTATTACCCCAGGTGGAGGGGGAGGTTTTTTAAGTTTAGGACATCTGGGCAGAGGCAATGAAGATTTGGGACCTTTGAGGGTGTCCATTGGCAAAGGCAGCAGTTCTGAGGTGTCAAAAGGGGTTTCCTCATTCCCACCTTCATAGTGACAGTCGTATGGGGTATCCTAAGGGGAGGAGGTTTCTCCAACTTCAAACCTAATCCTAATCTATCCATCATCCAAACTTCCCATAGTTTAGGAGGCAAATGTGCATGCATGAGAGGGTGCCAAGGTGGGATCATTGGAAACGTAAGGGATGATAGCCAAACATGATGAATTACATGGCACTTCAAGGAAAGAGATATCAGGGAAGGAGTTAGGACCATCCATAAGATTAGGGTTTGCCACTTCACTGCTGATGTGGCCTCTTGTCGTAGTGTTGAGAATGGTCCCACCAGTACCTGAAGATTCATCATCACTAGCATCCTTAACAATAGGCAAGAGAGTGGAACAAGGGTTGCCCAGTGCCTTTGGACAATTTGATATGGATTTACTAGCGACTGGGGTAGGGTGGGGAAGGTTTTTGTCTTGGGGTTTTTGAATTTTCCTGAAAGAAGGCTGTGGCTTTTGTGGGCCTTTCTTTCCACTAGGCTCATGATTATTCCTTCTTCTTCCTTTTGGCTTTTCCCATCCATTTGTGTGCTGGCCCACCCTCTGTTGAGCTCCTGTGAACTTTTCCACATCGGCCGGAGCATTGCCGGAGAGGATCTCAGGGGGGATATTTCCGGCATGAAGTTGTTGCATGGCCAAATCGAGAGCAAGAGGCACAGTAATCCATCACCTTTTCATATTTGCATGGAAGCCAAATATCCCTTCCCCCTAACCGAATGTGGATCCTAGGGGGAGAGCAATTGAGACATCCATTTCAACACAAAATCTCACCTCTCTGGCGTAGCTCCAATGACCGTTTTGGCATCCAGTTTGATAGGACGACCAAAGGAGGATGCAATGGTGAAGAGAGCTCTATGATCATTGAGGTGGACCGGAACATGGGAGACCTCAACCCAAACCGGAAAAATAGGGTTGTCATGATTGGGGGAATGATTTGGGGACCATTTGCAAATGGTGATAAGAATTCCCTGGATGTTCCATCTTCTCCTGTAGAACCACCTCTGGTAGTTATCTTCCTGTATGAATATGAACAGGACCTCGAAGTTACCCGGTCGCCGCAGTTTGAACTCTTTGAAGCCACCTCTGATCAGGAAGTCTTCCAAAGCTGAGAGTGAGATCCTTTCTTTGCTCCTTCCGATGAGGGTTCTGCTGAACTTTCCGGCCAGAACCTCTTCTTCCGCTGCTGAAAAAATGATTGACGGTGCACCATTGTAGAGACCATTCACCTGACCCGGGTTGTTTGTGAAGTCACCATTGAAGAGATCCACAAACAGGCTTTTACATTTACATATATGTGGGCCGGTTTACGTACGTGAGAATGCAACTTGATGAAAGAAATAAGAATAAAATTTAGCCTTTGGATCTGATGCATCGTGCGGCTCAGATTACTTCCTACATTCAGATTTTGAGATAGTTCATTTTCAAAGGATTTTGGTGTATTTCGACATGATGCATTTTCAAACCATTTTGGTGCACCTAATTTGATGCAATCCTGATCCTTAGACCCCAGAATCTAAAACACCATATTAATTCTAATTTCTTTCATAAGATCACATTCTCACCAGATCCCAATATATATAGGGGCTGGTTCAAGTGAGAATGCACTTTTGTTAAAGAAATAAGAATAAAACCTAGTCTTTAAAACTGATGCATCCTGCGGCTCAGATTGCATAATGCGCTCAGATTTTGAAATAGTGCATTTTCAAAGGATTTTGGTGCATTTCGACATGACACATTTTCAAACCATTTTGGTGCACCTAATTTTGATGCAATTCTTACCCTTATCTCACAATCTAAAGCACCAGATTCATTCTTGTGTGTGCGTGTGTGTGTACATACATACATACATACATACATAGATATATATATATATATATATATATATATATATATATATATATATATATATATATATATATATATATATATATATATATATATATATATATATATATGCTTATTTAAATTATACCCATAAATTGCTTGTTGACGGCGAATATCTTGCAAGGACTCAAAGAGCATGGGCAGGGTCACCTTTACACTAGACAAGGCAAACTGGCGTTCGGATGGCCCAGAACTCGCATGATTCTCGTCATTTGTATCATGCATAGCCCGCATCACAGTTTCTCGTTTGATCCTCCAAAACGGTGTCTCAGGTGTCATATCCTCATTGGCAAAAACAAATCCCTTTTTCTTCAACAAGAATGTAAGAAGAATGGGATAGGGTAGAGCTCTCGCGCTGGCACGACAATGATCCATATAACTCATAATGTACTTACCCCAATTGACTTTGACAGGTTTAAGAATTGCATAAATGAGCATAGAATCGTCTTTGCTCATTTGGGGATGATTTCCAACTCGACCCCGCAAGATGTAAGAAGAAATGTACTGAAGCAAGCGTTGAGGGGGCTGCATCCCACTAACCATTGGCCTGCCCGAATCATTGAGCTGAGGTTGAAAACCCATTTCTTCCCAACATAGCCTTTCATCAAAAGTGTACCGAAAATTTGTAGAAACCTTTGCAGTAGAGATTTCAGCCTTACAATTGTCAAGTCCAAACAAAGTATTTAACTCCGAACTAGTAATAACAATAGTTTTGCCACAAAAAGTTGAAGTTATCACATAATTGGTGTTTTGACGTTTGAAGGACATAGCAGCATAGAAGGCTTTCATATGGTCAATCAGAACGCGACCCTCACGAAAATTGATAACATTCAATAAGCCCGAAGTACGAAGTTTAGTAAGAACTGAAGCAAAGGATTGGTCATTTTCAAAAACACGAGCATCAACATATCTCGGAGCAACGATTTTTAGAGGAAGAAGACGAGTGGTAAAAAAGTTCAAAGAGTCTTCATTATCAAAGAAAATTTTAGGCTTCATAGAGTAAACAAATTCAGTTTCACCTAAGGAATTGCCTGGATTTGAAGTTTCTGCATGAGAAGAAGTGTGACGAGGGCGAATTGTTCTCTTCTTTGAAGTGGACATGACGAAACTGGGAGAAGAAGATTAAGAGCCTGCGTCCCGGAGGAAGTGGCGAGGAACAGCGACGAGGAAGATAGAGCACCGTCGCCTAGGGTTTCTGCACGGAAGTGATTTGCACCCTGGAGTGATGTATTGGAGGCGGCGGCTGCGTGGCAACGGCGAGAGAGGAGCACAGCGTTGAGGTCGGCGAGGAAGAAGAAGTTTCTCGCTGTGCGTGAGTCGCTGTGTGGCGAGGAAGAAAAAAGTTTTGAGATAAGGTTGGGAAAATAAGTGGACTTGAATTTGAATCGGTCAACAAAATTGATCTCATTTATTCGAATAAAAGACACCTTATTCGAATAAGTCTGAATAAAGGAACCCTGGCATAGTAACTTAGTTGAATATGTCTGGAACTAGTCGAATAAACCAGAGCAAAGCAAATCTGAGGAGCCCAGAACTAGTCGACTAGTTTCACTTTTAGTCGACTAAACAATTGAAGCCGCGGAAAGAATAATATCCAGTCAGGGTTTTATTCGAATAAATATGTACTTATTCGAATAAATCAGCAGAAACCTTAGAATCAATGAGAAAATCTTCAACCATTAAATCTCTATATCCAAACCAAAATTCCCCCTTAATAAATGCTTTCTATGGAGTGCGGAAGAGGAGTGGATGGATAGAAACCTGCAAAAAAGACTTAAAAACCACTCCGATGCCTAAGTTAGTACAAAATTCAATCAATTGACATGAAAATAATTAAAAGAACTTAGTTAATAGCAATAATTCCTAAGGCATTTCTAATACGACTAAAATTCTCACGGTCCAAGGGTTTAGTAAATATGTCGGCCAACTGATTAGTTGTATCGACAAACTCAATGTCAACATCACCCTTTTGGACATGGTCTCTAATAAAGTGATGTCGAATATCCATACGCTTAGTACGAGAATGGTGAACAGGATTCTTCGTAATATTTATGGCGCTCAAATTATCACAACGCAAAGGAATGTGATCAAGTACAAGGCCATAGTCCAAAAGTTGTTGTTTTATCAAAAGGATTTGTGCACAACAACTCCCCGCAACGACATACTCGGCCTCGGCGGTGGACAAAGCAACACTTACTTGCTTCTTGCTAAACCAAGAAACAAGAGAACAACCAAAAAGGTGACAGGTTCCACTCGTACTCTTTCTATCCATTTTGCATCCAGCAAAATCGGAATCAGAATACCCAACAAGAGTGCATGTTGAACCTTAAGGATACCAAAGTCCCAAGTTCAAGGTGCCTCTCACATACTTAAGGATCCGTTTGACAGCGATCAAATGAGATTCCTTAGGGTTCGCTTGATATCTAGCACACATACAAACACTAAATATCAAATCAGGTCTACTATCAGTTAAATAAAGTAAAGAACCTATCATACCTTGATACCGTTTGGCTAAGAAATGTCCCATGTTCAAGTTGTCGAATTTGAAGACCGAGGAAGAAATTTAGTTCTCCCATTATTGACATTTCGAACTCCCCTTGCATAATCTTAGTAAATTCCTCACACATAAGATCATTAGTAGCACCAAAAATGATGTCATCAACATAGATTTGTACTAAAAGCATGTCAAGAGCATTATGCTTAATGAAGAGTGTGGTGTCTACCTTTCCTCTTTGAAATCCATTCTCCAAGAGATGCGAACTCAAACATTCATACCAAGCTCTTGGGGCTTGTTTAAGTCTGTATAGAGCCTTTTTCAGCTTGAAAACGTGATTTGGATACTCAAAGTCCTCAAATCCCGGAGGTTGTTCGACATACACTTCTTCTTGAATGAAACCATTCAAGAAAGCACTCTTGACATCCATTTGATACAATTTAAAATTCATAGTAGCAGCATACGCAAGTAGTAATCTAATGGCTTCTAATCTCGCTACAGGGGCATAAGTCTCATCAAAGTCTATACCTTCTTGTTGATTGTAGCCTTTAGCTACAAGCCTAGCTTTGTTTCTAGTGATAATACCATTTTCGTCGAGTTTGTTTCTAAATACCCATTTGGTGCCAATAATTGAATGATTACGTGGCCTAGGCACAAGCTCCCAAACGTCGTTACGTTTGAATTGATCCAACTCTTCATGCATAGCCATAGTCCAGTATTCATCATTAATGGCATCATCAATGGTAGAAGGTTCTATTTGAGATACAAAAGCCATATGATGAACTAAATTGCATAATGAGCTACGAGTAGTTACCCCTTTGGAGATTTCACCAATCACGTTGTCTAAAGGATGATATCTTGAAGTTCTCCATTCGGGTGGTAACTCATTTGCAATATGCTCATCCTTTTTGTCCTCAACTTTTTCTCCAACATCTTCTTGTTTTTCAGATTTTGTCTTACTAGATTCACCTTCTTCAAGATTCATTTTCTCAAGTGAACCTGCAAGATCATCACAAGATACCCTTCTCGACAAGCGAGCATTATTCTCATCAAACACCACATGCACAGATTCTTCAACAAGTAAGGTACGTTAGTTGAAAACTCTGTAGGCCTTACTAGTCAAAGAATAACCTATAAAAATTGCTTCATCTGACTTGGCATCAAAAAGGTCCTAAATTATCTTTGCCATTATTTAAAACATAACATTTACAACCAAAGACATGAAGATGCGAGAGATTAGGCTTTCTACCCTTATACAATTCGTACTGAGTAGCATTGAGTGTAGGTCTTATAATCGCACGATTGAGAATATAAGCACGAGTACTCACCGCATCCGCCCAAAAGTACTTAGGTATGTTAGCCTCACTAAGCATAGTTCTCGCCATCTCTTTGAGAGATCGGTTTTTCCGCTCAACAACGCCATTCTGTTGAGGTGTTCTTGGGGCTGAGAAGTTATGTGCAATGTCTACTTCATCGCAATAGGTATCAAACCCACTTTGATCAAACTCTCCCCCATGATTACTTCTTACGGCCACAATGCTACAACCTTTTTCATTTTGAACCTTTTTAGTGAATTTGCGAAAAGATGAAGGTGCATTACTTTTGTGGGAAAGAAATAGGGTCCATGTATAACGAGAGTAGTCATCAACAATAACCAAGGCATAGTAATTACCTCCTAAACTCATAGTTCGAGAAGGTCCAAAGAGATCAATGTGCAAAAGCTGCAATGGTCTAGAAGTAGAAACAACTTTCTTTGATTTGAAAGAGGTTTTTACTTGTTTACCCTTTTGACATGAATCACAAATTCCCTTTTCGAATTTGAGTTTAGGAACACCAATTACTAGGTCTTTTGAAACTAATTTATTAATTAGTTCCATATTGGTGTGACCAATTCTTTTATGCCATAGCCACATCTCTTACCCTTTAGTAATGAGGCAATGAGCAAAGTCCGTTGGAGTAATTTCATGGTTGATCATGTAAATATTATCTATGCGATCGCCGGTAAGGATAATCTTATTATCACAAAGGCGTTCGACCATGCAATGATTAGAAGTAAAAATAACACGGTTACCTTTATCACACAATTGACTAATGCTAAGCAAATTATGCTTGAGGCCTTCGACCAACAACACATTTTCAATTTCGGAAGCTTTGTTTTTGCCAACAGTTCCGGTTCCAATGATCTTTCCTTTGTTGTTGTCGCCAAATATGACATTTCTACCATCAATTGATTTTAGAAAAACAAATTTGGATGCATCTCCGGTCATGTGCTTGGAGCATCCGCTATCAAGGTACCATAGTACACTTGATGCCTTCAAGCACGCCTGTACAATTATTTAATTAGGGGTTTTAGGTACCCAAATCTTTTTGGGTCCTTGAGAGTTAGTATGAACATCATAAATATCAATGTGTGCCCTCTTCCTATCCTTAGCAATCAATCTAAGCTTCCTAAAACATACAGGAGATATGTGTCCAACGTGATCACAGAAATGACAAACAACCCTAGGATCATACATATATCTATATGGACTAGAGAGTCTCCTATGTGTCCTAAAGTTGTTAGGTTGTCTAGGTGCATTCCTTACATTACTAAAATTGCTAGGTTGTCTATTTCTAGGAAATTGTCTAGGTTGTCTAGTGAATCTATGAGCAACGTAATTCCTAGACTGACTAGGTTTTCTCATCCTAGAAGTAGTGGGGGGAGTTGCTACTCTAGGTTTAGTCGTCTTAGTGTTACTACTAATTTTATGAACTATATTACTCCTATCCTTAGGATTCTCCAAAGGTCTTTCTCCTTCTTTAACGAAATTCACCTTTTTAAAAGCTTTAGATTTATAGCCTAGTCCATTTTTATTGTTTTGTCCTTGTTGAACTATAAAGTGCATATCTTTGCTAGCTTTATTATACTCCCTCCGTCCATTTTTAATATTCGTACTTTCCTTTTTCGTCCGTCCATAAATAAAGTTCATGTTTCCTTATTTGGTAAGTTTTCTTTATTGAAAAGACACAAATGCCCTCCACTTTATTATTTCTCTTCTCCTTTCTTTCCATTTCAGCATTTCGCAGCTCCCCAAATCCCAATTTCTCTTTCTTTTCCATCTTTTCTTCTTCATTCCTTTCTTTTTCTTCTCCTTTTTTCTCCTCTCCAGAACCTTCCCCACCAATTTTCCTTTCTTTTCCTCCTTTTCTTCTACCTTTCTTTCTTTTTCTTCTCTCCTTTTTTTTCTTTCTCCAGTTCGATTTTGTCTTCTTCTTCTCTAAGTCTTCTTCATCTTCTCCTTCAAAAAATTTTCATTTTCTTCATATCTTCGATTCTTCCACCTTGCTGTGAGAATAGCTCGAATAGGGCCTTAAAGAATGCCTGCGAAAATTCTAAAATGTTGAGGTTAGGGAAAATCTGAATTTTTTAGATCTATGAAACTTTCATTTTTTTCAGATTTATCTGAAATTTTTTGAGATCTAAGGGGGCCGAAGGTGAGGTAGCCGCAGAGCAGCAAAGCGGTGGTCGGAAGTAAACATCCTTCCCATCGATTGGTGGGCCCTCGGAGTGCTCTGCTACGAGGTGTTGTACGGAAGGACTCCGTTCCGGGGGAAGCACAGAAAGGACACTTTCCGGAGAATACTGGTGATGCAGCCTGGGTTCGTGGGGAAGCCGAATGCCTTGACAGACTTGATCGGAAAACTAAGGTATCTGATGCAGCCTCGGAGAAGATCTGATGTACAAAGGAGAAGATCTGATGTACAAAGGAGGAGGTATGGAGGGTATTTTGGTAAAGTCAATGACATTTACACTTTTTCTTAATCTCCGTGCCCAGTCAAACCCTGAACATTAAAAATGGACAGAGGGAGTATTTTCCTAAATGTTCATGCAATCTAGCTATCTCTTTTTCATGGATGTTACATTGTGCACAAGGAGTGTCAATACTAACCTTGCCAAGTTTCTTATTTTCAAGTTTCAACAAATCCATCTCTTTATTAAGTTCAATTATTTGAGCTTCTAAAAATGTGACATTTTCTTTGGCAAGCTTAGTTTCTTTAGTGGATTTGAGAAATTCACCATAGAGATCACTAAATGCACTATGTAAATCATCCAATGAAAAGCAATCACTTGAAGATGATAAGGGAGTTGAAAAAGAATTAGAAGATACCTCTTCCTCGGTAGCCATTAGACAAAGATTTGGTATTTCTTCGTCCTCATCACTTGTTTCGGAAGATGAATGGTCATTCTCCCATGAGATGTATGCTTTTTGCTTCTTCTTGAACTTCTTATCCTTCCCTTGCTTCAACTTAGGACAATAAGGCTTGATGTGCCCTATCTCACCACATTCATAACATTTAGGTGGTGTAGCTTTCTTGCCATTGTCTCTCCTTGGCTTGAAGCTTTTCTTTATAAACTTGTTGAAGCGTTTGATGACAAGAGCAAGTTCGGGATTATCTTCTGAATTAAGTGATTCATCATCATCTTCTTCATTTTCCTCTACAACTTCCTTGGTGGCTTTCAATGCTATAGATTTCCTCCTTTTGTCTTCACCACGTAGATGAGGAGTAGTAGTTTCATATGTGAGTAGTTTCCCACGAAGAGTATCATAAGTTAAGATATTTGTAGTCTCTTCCTTCAGTTATGGCGTTCACCTCGGATTTCCACTCAAGAGTCATACAACGTAGAATTTTCCGGACAAGCTCATGATCGGTGTAATACTTTCCTTGCGTGTCAAGATTGTTGATGATTGTAGAGAATCTCTCAAAATAACTATCAATGCTTTCATTCTCCTTCATTGAGAATAATTCATATTCATGCAATAAGATATCAACTTTAGCATCTTTAACTTGAGATGTACCTTCATAAGTAACTTCGAGTTTAGTCCACATCTCATTGGCGGATTTGCATCTTGATATCTTCCTATAATCATCAGGGTTGACCGCACAATAAAGATAGTTGATGGCTTTGGCATTTTGCATGATGTTCTTCTTGTCTTGATCATCATATTCGGATTCCAACTTGGGAACACGAATTCCATCAACAATATTTGCAGGAGTAGTGTTTCCATGCTTGATTACCATCCACGAGTCGAAGTCATTTGATTGTATAAATATCCTCATTCTTTCCTTCCAATATGCATATTTTGTACCATCAAAGAATGGAGGACGTGTAGTAGATTGTCCTTCGGATACACCGGCTTGAAATGTTCTTCCGGTCATGATCTAGATTTCCGGCGGTAAAGCTTTGGAAATGCAGCCTTGCTCTGATACCAATTGTTGAACAACTTACGCACCTCTAGAGGGGGTGTGAATAGAGGTGTTCTTCAAAAAATCAAAACTCTTGGAAGATTAAACAAGAATTCGAAGGATTATATCAACCACAAGAGCACAAAAAAGAAGAGGAGCAACACACAATGTATATTGGTTCGGCCTAATGCCTACGTCCAGTCCCCGAAGCAAACGTGCCCGCGATTCCACTAACTTCGTCAACCTTAACGGAGGTTGACAATCCGATTACAACTCGAGAACTTGAATTCACAAGCCTCTAACCTTTCCACCGAAGTCTTGATTTCACAAGACTTAGGATTTCTCTCCAAAACTTGAATTATAACAACTTCAAGTTTTTACAATTCACACACCGTTCCAAAACAAAGTGCACAGCGGAAATACTCTTCAAATTAAGAGTGGATTGCTGTAGAATACAAGAACTTATAGAGTATGGCACACTAGTACTCTTCAAAACTCAAGCAGATATTGATTTCTTGAAGAATTGCTTGGAAGTATTGTTGAAGGATCAAAAGTATGAATTGAAATGCTTGGATAGTTAAAAGAATATGTTTGAATGGATATATATATATATATATATATATATATATATATATATATATATATATATATATATATATATATATATAATGTTCTTCAAGCAAAAGAGCCGTTGTATGTGAGTTATGGAAGATAGGGATGGATAACTTCTACAAATCCGCAGTTCAAACTGACGACTTATTCGAATAAAAACAGATTTATCCGAATAGTTCAGAGTGAAAAACACAGACTTATTCGACTAAGTGAAGACTTATTCGACTATGTCACTGTAGGATTGAAGAAATGAGCTTCAGGACTTATTCGAAAAATTTGCTAACTATTCGAATACGACAGAACTGAGAACTCTAACTTATTCGAATAAAACAAGAGTTATTCGAATAGTTTTCACAGTTTTGAAAATGTGATTTTGCAACTGACTCAAAAACAATTTGAAGAGGAAAACATTTTCAAAGAGGAAAAACAGCTAACGTGCCATACACTTTAACAAAAATGCTAAGACTAAAACGAAAACCAAAAACACTATATCTTCACACTTTTCTTGAGATCCAACGCATGATTGTGAAGATCAACATCCAAAGTGCCAAGCCCATGAGATAGTTGTCATTATCAAAACACAAGGGTCAACAACCCTAATAGTTCCCCAGGCCCTGATGGATTTAATGGATACTTTTTTAGGAAAACTGGGAAAATTATTGGAAAAGAAATTTGTATGGCATCTAAAGAATTTTTCCTTGGTATCTCTAATCCTTCAGGTTATGGAGCTACCTGGCTGTCCCTCATCCCCAAAAAGGAAGATGCAGCTTCCTTTGAAGATTACATGCCAATCTCTCTCTCTACCTTCCTTAGCAAAATCAATACTAAGATCCAAGGCTACTGAAAGTCCTTCCTAAGATAATCTCTTATCAACAAATAGCTTTCCAAAAGGGAAAGGATATTGCTGATCATATTCTTTTGGTGGAGGAAATGCACCATGAGATAAACAGAAAAGTCAAAGGAGGAAACATGATCATCAAGCTTGACTTATCTAAGGCCTTTGATAGACTGAACTGGGAATATTTAAGGGGCATCTTGGAAGCTTTTGGATTCAATGATAAATCTCAAAACATTCTCTTAGCTAACCTGAAAGCAACAAGACTCTCTGTCCTAGTCAATGAAACTCCATCAAGCTTCTTCAAGATGACAGGAGGGGTTAAACAAGGGGACCCCCTATCTCCTCTCCTCTTTATTATTGGTTTGGAAGGTCTTAGCAGGATGCTCAACTCTCATCAACTCTTGGGTTATATTTCCCCTTTCAATGCTGGAAGGGTCCCCATCCCCTCTCATCTAGCTTATGCAGACGATCTTGTCGTTTTCACTAATGGAAGAGTTAGGAAACTCCTAAGACTCTCCAACATAATATCAAGCTTCCTCCAAGCCTCTGGTCAAAGAGTCAACTTCCAAAAGAGTAAATTCTATACCTACTCCAACATCTCCCCACATGCACTCTCTGATAAGGAAAGAGCACTTAAGATTCAACATAACAAAGAACTCTTGATTTATCTCGGGGTCCCAATTAGCAATGGAATTTTAAGAAAGGAAGATTGTGGTTTCCTTCTACAACACTTTGACAGATTACTATCTTCTTGTTATAACAAAACTCTGAACTCAATGGGCAGACTCACGCTGATCAAATACACTCTTTCCTCTATCCCCTCGCACCTTATGTCTGTCCACAATCTCCCAAAATCAATTTCCTCAAAATTGATGAAAAGGATGGTCAACTTCCTTTGGGGCTTCAAGAAAGGGAAACCTAAACACCATTGGGTCTCTTGGACTAAGACTTGTCAACCAACAGATTCAGGAGGATTGGGGATAAAACATTTTGACAACATCCAAGAAGCAAATGCCATTAAACTGTGGTGGAAAATCAACAATAACACAGGTCTGTGGGTTGATTTCATGAGGAAAAAATACTGGAGGGATGGTGCCTTTAGTATCAAACCTACAGACTCTCCAACATGGAGGAGAATTGCTAAAATTCACACTTTAGCAAGAAACTTCTCGTACATTTCCGAAGATCAATACAGGTGGAGGAATGGGGAATTCTCATTCAGCAAGGCTCTCTCAGCTTCCACTAATGGCTACTGCACTACTCTCTCCAGCAAATTGATCTGACATAAACTGCAGATCCCAAAATTAGTTTATTTCTCTGGAAACTACACTCTGACGCCCTTCCCCTTTCGCATAACATGAAAAAACTCTTGTTTCGCCTTCCTTCCATTTGCCTTCTGTGTAAAAGGAACGAAGACTCGCCGGATCACTGCTTTCTTCACTGCCCGGCTGCCAAGGAAGTTTGGGAATACTTTATAAACATCATAGAGGGTCCAAAAATAATCACAAATCTCAAAATTCAACAATACCTTCTACAGTAGTTCATCAAAGCAAAAGGAAAAAGCTTCACAGAACATCTTCGAAGTGTAATCCTAGGAATAATTGTGTGGACTCTCTGGAAAGAAATCAACAAAGTACACTATGAAGACACCCTCAGCTCATCCTCTAGAATGATTAACACAATCCACTAGGAAATTCAAGGATGGATATTGATTTACAGGAAGAAGAAATGGATAATCTCTGAAGGAAATGAAATCTCACTTTTTCCTAATCGGTTCTGGTTGAATGGGAAGTGTTTGAAGATTGGTTTTATTCCCGCTAACGATATCGAGAATTTATTTCTTCATTCTTTAGTGTAGAAGTTTTGAGAGTTTAATTTTGTCTTGACTTCTGAGGCTTTGGTCTAGTCCTCCTCAGACGTGTTCTCCATTTGTTCCTCTTCTCCTAATAAATTTCTCCTTCAATATATATATATATATATATATATATATATATATATATATATATATATATATATATATATATATATATATATATATATATATATATATATATATATATATATATATATATATATATATATATGCAGGGGATGGAGTGGTGGGCTCTAGGGAAGGAGACAGTGGGAGGGGTGTGGATTTGATAGACTTGGTGAGGCTGAAGGTGGCGGCGCTGACTGTTTTGACCCTGGGGTTTCGCCGGAGATGGGGAATCCGGCGGTGGAGAAGCAAATGAAGGAGGTTTTGGGGATAGCATTGCGTTGCGTACGCTCGGTGTCCGAGAGGCCGGGTATCAAGACTATCTATGAAGACCTCTCATCCATATAGTGTGGGATGTGATGAGGTATTATTATCTGTTATTATTAGCTCTCTCTACTAGTCATTTAGACATTTGTAACTTAGCTTCTTTGGGGATCAATTAGTTCATTGGCCTCCTCTCTTTCTTGCTTTCTTTCCTTTTTTAGTAGGAAGGGATGTTGGTGTGGATGAACTGATTTTGTTGCATGTATATTGGAGTTGTGCTTCAACTCCCTTTTTACACATCAAGGATCTACCAAGCCCCAAGTGCCCATACATTTGGGGTGGGCACCATTCTTGAGGGTCTGTTTGGAAATCAAGAAAGTAATTTCTAGAATATATATACTCCCTCCGTCCATAAAAGAACTTCCCGGTTTGACCGGGCACGCAAATTTATGTGTGATAAAAATTGTATTGACTTTCCCATTTTACCCCTCAACTTATTTGCCCTCTCCAGTGCCATAAGCTATCTACCGACTACTGGTGTTGCCAACGCCGCCGGTGGTTCACCGACCGACCACTCTTCGGCACCACTGCCTTGTCTGCCTATGTTCTTGTCACCGTCCCTCCCCTGCCTCCACAACCTTCCGCCATCGTTACCCCCGCCGCAACCCCCAACCCCCATCGTCGCAGACCTGCAAGTCTGCAATTCCCGTCTTCCCAATTCAACCCCTTTCACTACAGAGATCGAATCAGATTTCCCCATCGTAGATCTGGGAAAGCGAACCTTCGTGCAGATCTAGATCCGATCAGATCTAGTAGTGAGGGTGACAATCTAACTCCAGTGAAGATACAATCCCATACTTCATGTTCCAGGGAGAGAAGGAATAAGAAAAAGAAGGAAGCAGATAAAAGGATTGAAGAACAAAGAAGAAGAAGACGGAAGAAAAAAGAAAAAAAATCGGAAAAAGTATAGGAAGAAGGAGAAATGGAGAATGAAAGAAAAATGAAGACTGAAAGAAAAAAATGAAGAAGAAAGAGAAAACTAAGAAAAAGAAAAAATGACGGAAGGAGAGAAAGAAAGATGGTGGAAGAAGAAGGGGATAAGATGGAAGAAATTATGAGAAAGAAGGAGATAGGGTGGACGAGTGGACCACATTTGGTTTGGGGAGGAGTGATGGAGTGGGTTATTGGGATGGAGTTAAGGGCAAATAAGACATTTTACCAAAAAAAACTTACCTAAAATAGAAATGGGAAGTTTTTTTGTGGACGGACGAAAAAGGAAAGTGGGAAGTTCTTTTATGGACGGAGGAAGTATATATATATATATATATATATATATATATATATATATATATATATATATATATATATATATATATATATATATATATATATATATATATATATATATATATATATATATATATATATATATATATATATATATATATATATATACTTCCTCCGTCCATAAAAGAACTTCCCACTTTCC